ATATATATATATATATATATATATATATATATATATATATATATTACGTTCACATTATTTATTATACCCTCGAGAACAAATATTTCAAGATCTAGTTATTTTTACATTGATTACGTATATGATATGGTCACTTGATAGGTAATTACAAGTACCTGTCGATAAAAAGTGAAGATTATTAATCTAAAAAATAAGGTACGTAACTTGTTTTCTCTTCTTGGTTTAATCATCCGGAATTCGGCACCCTCTGGCTTATTTAATCCAGATTCAGGCTGTGGAAAGCCCCGCATAGAGAATTTTAGCTCTCCCTACTAAACAATACTCTATACCACGACTCGAATTAATCTGAGACCTATGATTACGGATAGAGGAACATTTACCATATTCTTTGGTAGTAAGGTAAATAACTTGCTACAACTAATTAATTAAACAATACAGATAGTACAAAAATGCTTATATTATCAAGCATATTAAAGCAGGGCAAATGTAGTATAAGCTACAAGTTCGATCAGACCCTATAATTTTAGCTCTTACTTTGGATATGTATTAAAGCCTAGGATAATTAAACTATATTAATATTGTAAAATTGAGTTGCATTGCAAAGTGTATATAAGTGAATTCATAATTTAACTCAAAATGTGGATGATTGAGAAGAACGAACCGAATAATAAGGGATTTTATTTGCGACCACTTTCGTAGTGTAGGAAGAGGAAGAAGAATTCTCCATAGAAAGAGCATGAACTGCAGCATTTAGGAGCTGAGTAGAGCCAACTCCAAAAACAATGTATCTTCCATTTGTGACAGCATTCTTGGCAATTGCATGTATTTTTCTTATGTTTTTCTCAAGTTCCTTGGATATGTAAGACTGATTAGGAAAGAAATAACTCATTCTATGCCAACCTGCTACTAATACTGCACTGCTTGCTGCATTTTGCATCCAGAATGGTTCCAAGAATAGGGGATCCCCACTGCATTAAACAAGCAATACATTAGGTATAGCCCTATTCCGACATGCGTAATAGGTAGCGGCTAAGTCAGGAACTTCACTAAGGGTGTTCGAAGATTTTTCAAAATTTAATATGTATATATAGAAAGTAATATTTGATCTATATACACAATATAATTTTACGGGGAGGAATATTTACTCAACTAGTCACCCTTCGAGCAATATAGTTCCAAGCCAGCAAACATGGTACCCCAAATATAACGCAATCCTCCCTTCTTTGATATTTAGCGTAACAAATACTGTTTTAAACATGAGCATGTTTTGTTCCTTAGGTTAATTTTATATTTTGCTTAACAAAGTTAACTTATTGTGTTCTTTTTAATTGGATATTTGCGTTTAAACTCACTTATTGCCTGTAACTTATTGTATACGTATGGATCTAGTTTAAAAACTAATTTGGAAGAATGGATTAAGTGCATGCATCCGGTAGTAAAAATTTAAAACCAAAATAAGTTAGTATTGTTAGATGAAAATAAAAAAAAGTAGAACAACGGGTAAACTTGTCTATTTCTAGGTTACGAAATAGTTTTGTCACATTAAATTTCAAAATAGGAACGTTCGTGCAATATTTGACACCACAAGACAGACATGTATTACAAGCCAAAACCTCAGTAGTAAGTTGAGTTGAATTTTCGAACAAATCCAAAGTAGGAGAATATTACCCTTCAACATCAGCAGGACAGTTGGGTAATAACAAAGAGCAATCATTGCCTCCATAACAAGAATAGCATTCACAAATAGGCTTTCCATCTACTACAATCCCATCAACAAATACTCTTCCATTTCCTGAGCATGAAATTGCAGCTACTGCTTCTGCTTCTTCTGCTGCTCTTTGGCTCCAACTCAACTTTTCCTTCTCATAATACATATTTCTGAAAAAGAATATATTCACAAGTATTGAGACCAAGAGACACATAACATAGCTAAACCTCTGAATAATCTTTGCCATTATTCTAGGCTTCCCTTCTTTCTTTAGATTATTATGGGCTTTGCAATTAATAACAGGGTTATTAAGTATGCTGCTGTGCTCTCTAATTCTACTTTTTTATCTATTTATTCTGCTTGATTGTTTGAAAAATAAATGACCAATTAAAATCAATATTGTTTAATGTTCTTTTTTGATTTTAAAACAAAAAAAGTATAAAAGTATGCAAATGCTAACAAAACATGGCCTTCTTTTCCACGTAGGAAGCATAATAAGATAATGAGAAAAAATATTGGAGCATTTCATAAAGTGAACAAAACAAAAAAGTAAATGTTGAATGCGTGGAATCAAAACACGTTCAATTTGCTTTTTCGAGTAGGTGCGCTTGGGGATTAAGAATATTAAAAACTTCTAGCTGCAAAACTTGTGGAATGAGAAAATGTGTGAATGCTACAAAGATTACTCCCTCCGGCTCAATTTATCGGCAGTAATTTTTAAATATAGTTGTCTCAAATAATTTGTTATATTAGAAGTTCAAGATAGAATTAATTATATTTCTTATTGTTGGAGATACTACATAAATAAAGTAAAAATATTAAATTTAAAGGGATTATATCTTAAGACATAAATAAATAAAAATAGTTTAAAATTATCTTATTTTTTTAAGGAGCGTGTAAAAGAAAAAGACGCCTAATAATTTGAGACAGTAATATTTAGTAGGTTGGAACTTGGAATCACTATAATTGGTAATTGTTATCTCATTCTTTAGATCGACTTGAAATAAAGTGCAGGTCTTACGCACGAAGTTTAATAGTGCTACTTTAGTAGTTTTCCGTATACCCTTTATCCACTACATGGATACCTAGAACATATGTGATGACCCGATAGGTTATCTAGAGTTTTAGAATATAGTTTTGTGTTTCAAAGTTACCTCATATTGCAATTGCGACATCTGTAACTGGTCAAATACGAGTTAGACGGGATTTTCTCTCATTGTTCAAATTTTCAAACCTAGAGAACCCTAGAGGCAATTTTCCCAATAGCCCTTCTTCCCCAAATCATTGTTAAGTGATTCTAACCTATTTTATTTCAATCTTCCATTACATTTCATAAAATTTCAACCTAAAATCTAGTATTTTTATGGTGGAAATTGGGGGTTTGGTAGAATTAGAGATTTTTGTAAAATTGAGATTTAGACCTCAAATTGAGGTCGGATTTCAAAACAAATTACATAATCGGGCTCGGGGGTGAATGGGTAATCGGGTTTTGACCCGAATTTTGGGTTTGGACCAAGAGGGCCCGGGAGTTGACTTTTGTTTAGCCTTTATTTGTTGTTATCTTGTACGTATATTGTTATCTGCACAGGTTATTTAGGTAGGTGTCCTGTCATAGCCTCGTCACTACCTCGTCAAGGTTAGGCTCAACACTTACGGAGTATATTGGGTCAGTTGTACTAATACTACACTCTGTACTTCTTGTGCAGATTTTGGTACTAGTCTCAGTTGTCCGTGAGGCGCTTCAGCTTGGAACTGCTTTTGGAGACTCGAGGTAGATCTGGTGGCATCCGTAGACCTTGAAGTCCCCTTCCACTTTCCCCTTATTTAATGTTCTTATCATTCGAGACAGTTGAACTTATTTCAAAACCTTGTATGTTGAAACTCTAGAAGCTCGTGAACTAGTGACTCCAGATCCGGGTTGTATCCGCATTCAGTTTTAGTTTTATTTCGGCTTAATTGATTGTACTTATTGAAATTGATTAATATTGGCTTAAAGATCCTCTAATGTTGGCTTGTCTAGCAAGTGAAATGTTAGGCGTCATCACAGTCCCGGAGGTTGGAATTCCGGATCGTGACAGAATGTAAGTAGATCTTTTGAAATAACTTTGTCAAACGATTTGCTTTATCAAACTCAGTCGATTATAACAAATTGGTATTAGAGTGAGATTTCTATTCTAACAATAAATATGTTGGTATCAAAGACTTAATCAAAGTACCAACTTTCAAGTATGGTATACGTAACTCACACTAATATAATGTAGGATGGAATATCAGCATATCGAATCAATTTGAGTCCAGAAAAATAAAATCAATTTGAAGCATAAGTGAGAAGGCCTATCCATCTTTAACAAAAGAGGTCTTCTTTGCAGGAAAAAAAAAAGACTATTAAATTAAAACGGATTTCAAGAACGTTGTATCTTTGGAAATTAAGAAGAAAAGGTGCTTGAAATCACCAGTGATGGTTTACCAAACAAAAGGTACTTACGAGTAATATGCAGTGATTAGTAATTTGGAATTAAAAACAAGTGGCAGTTGTTCAAGTTTAATTTGTAGATAGACTTTAAAGACAGCCAACATGGCTGTAACAACCACTAATTGAGTACTGGATATGTTATCAGAGTACCTAACTCTTACTCCACCAAGTAGAGGTAAATACATGATTTAAATTTAAAGGGTTTAACCTTGCACTGCACTTATTATTGTTTAACCAAAAAATAGGAATTTTGATCAAAACGTAATTTTAGAAGAACTCGGGTTACTGATAATCAAATAAAAAGATAATTGTATAACAAGAACGGAAAATTGGACTGAGAAGTAACCGAGTAAGCAATATAAAGCAATGTAAATAAGTATATTCCAATAATAATCAGTGTATCCATACAAATATTATTTCTCTTTCTTTTATAGCTATTTCCAAGTACGACGTTTCTTTCTTCTCATAATAGAGCCATTATGAGCATTTAATGATATTAATAAGACGTTATGATTGGCAGTCGTAACTGTTTCGTGAAGATTCCATAACGTTCCCTATCATTCACACTCATTGATTGAAGATATTACGAATCTATACTTCCTGCTATCTTGATTCATTCCACCGGTGCCTCTTCAAATTATCAAGAGGCCCTGGTGACCGTTCTTTCTTGCCTTCATGACACTTCGCTCGTACCTTTTAAGACTCGTGTCTCTTTAAGTACTCTTTGCCAGCTATCACTCCCATAATAATCCATGTGTCTTGATATGTCAGCCACATAATAAATTCCATAATTAATTCCAAGTGTAATATCGATTTTTCCCCAATATAGATAGTCCCCCCACTCGCCATTTATTCAGCAATTGAATATTTGGGAAGTGGATCTTATTAAAGCGGGAATTTTTGCCGCCGATTCCCACATACCATTATACCCTTTTCTGAACTGACGCTTCGCATATCACTTCCATTTAATGCGTGTGACTCGTGGTGCCCTTCGATTGGTTCCGCAACTCCTCAGCGCTTTTTAGGGCTTTTTACGACTACATCAGTCACGAAGTGAGAGTTTTCATAATGGCGTTTCCATCATTACCTTCTTGTTTGACGGTTGCTTCCAAGTATAAATATATCCTTTATCTTTTCTTTCACGAAAAAGTTTCCCATACTTTGCCATTCAATCTTTTCTTCATCTTCGCGCAACTATGTCTTCTTCAAACCCTGATCCTCAGAAGGTTCTTATTGTTGAAGAACTTCCCCTCGCTCCTACTAGAAGCAAGAGAAGAGGTAGGCTACGTAGTTTAGGATCAATTTCCGTTCGAGGTTCTCCTTCTCAACCTAGTCTTACTCCCCCATCATCTTCTAGAACTAGGCCTTCTCTTTCTCATAGGTCTTCTGCTAGAGGTAGGGATTCTGGTGAGCAAATTCGTGAGCCTACTGTAGACAAGATTATTCCTGCTTAACTCTCTTTTTATACTGACAAAGAGTCGATTAGAAACCAGGTCTCCTCTATGTCCTCTCATGATCGTGCCGATGTTTACCCTTCACAGATTACTGAAGGTTTGATCTCTGTTGTTTGTAAAGATTGTCATTGGAAGTTTGATTTCCCAATTCTGATCCCTAATGCAAATCAAAGGATTACTTCTTTCAAAGGTGGCTTTTCTTTTGTGTATACGTACCCCTTTACGTTAGACTTTAGACCCACTATTGATCCAGTCATTATTGAATCTTGCCGCTTCTTCAATGTGTATTTAGGACAAATTGGCCCTATTGTATGGAGGGATGTTGCATGTTTAAGGTATTGGCTAATTTGGCTCAATTGCCTTTCACCTTTTTTCATCTAATCCATCTCTACTCCCCTAAGTTATTCCGTCATGGGATTTTTAAACTGGTGGCGAGGAGTAAGAGAGTTTTAGTCAGCCCTAAGGACGATAAAGATCGTGGCTGGTACGCCTAATTTGTTGCTGCTTCTACGAAAGGGTTAGTAGGTGAAGAAAATATGTCCTTCCCTAAGAAGTGAAATTTTGCACGTAAGTTTTCTTTACAACTTTCTCTTTTTTTTTAAGAGTTTCTACTTCCCGTGACTGTTTCACTTTTCTTTTTCAGCAACCATGGGAACTGTTGAAGAAATTCCCAATTTCCGTGGTTGGGTAGAAAAATTGTTGACAATTGCTCCGATGGAAGTTGGATCTTGGAAGTATCTTTCGAATAGGTTTGGTTTGAAGGTCAAGACTCACGGTAAAATTTTTATTTCCTCCTTTTTCTTTCATTCATACTCTCTTTAGAATTTATTAACCCTTCTTTTTATCAGGGTTTCCTATTCGAGGTGTGAGTGATGAGTCAATCGCAGCTTCTAGACTTTCTTTGGCAAGAGCTCAAGAGATAATCTTGAGTTCTTAATCGAAAAGAAAAGATGATAGACCACAGGATTATGAAGATGAAGAAAAGCGGGATGGAAGCTCTTTAGTGCGTAAGTCGGGGGCTAGAAGGTGTGTCATTTCAGATGACGAAGCTACTCCCCCTCCTCGTTCTGTTTCTGTGATCGAGCCTACTGAAGCTACTTTATTGAGCTCTGATGAAGAGACGCTTGTGGCACCTCAAGACTCTGCTGAACACCTCTTTTCACGTGGTTTTGACAATGAAAGTTTTGACTTGGTTGCTGAGGAAACGCCTCTTGCCTCTTTTCCTGTGTCTGTTCCAATGGAATCCCATGTGCCCGTTCCTACCGTTGCTATATCTGCTCCGCCCGAAGCTATTATAGCCTCTTCGACCGTTCCTGATGCCAATACTTCTCGTAATGAAATTGGTTCTTCAAGTAGTAGCAGGGCAATGAAGCAAGTTACCATTGATGTTCCTGCTGATGGTAATCTTCTGAAAAAGTC